GACGGTACTGTAAGAGAGGCTGGAGATAGCAGCAGTACTGGGGGCAGAGGCACTGTCGTGGAAAAGATGTTCACGATGGGTGTCGTTGACGAGGCTGGTGTCCAGACGAAGTTCATCACTCGCAAGAAACTACGAAAGTTCCTGAGAATCAAGACCAAGTCGATCCATGAACCTGACTTTATGTTGGTTCTGATGAACGAAACGATCAAGCAAGTTGCTCGTTCACTGCAGCGACAAGATCAACCGACAACGTTGGGAGTGCGAAAGCACAACGGTATCTGGATACGGACTGGGATAGCTTCAAGGAGAATCCAGCGTACCAGTTACTCACGGAGTATATGGACAATGTGTTCCGTCCTGAACTCCCGGAAGGTTTACCTGAGAAACGCGAGATTGAGCATAGGATTGACGTGAAGGATCTGAATCTTGCAATGTATCGGCAACAGTGGCGTCAATCGTCAGAGCAGCAACGCGAGATTGTGCGTTGGGTTGTAGACATGGTGAAGAAGAAGCTCATTCGTCCGAGCGTCAGTCCACATGCTGCTCCAACCCTCTGTGTACGGAAACCAGTTAGCTGGAGAATCGTACACGACTGAACCCCAAGACTGTACGCCAAAGTATCCCAATGACGAGGAAGGAGGACATCCTCGACGCGATGTCCGGAGCGTACTGGTTTTCCACAATGGATTTGATGTCCGCGTACTATCAAGTACGTATGCGTGAATAGGATATCAAGTTCACAGCATTCCAAGGGCCAAACGGATTCTGGGAGTATCTTGTCCTGCCCATGGGAGTCTGTAATGTGCCAGCGACGATGCATCGTTTAACGTCAAAGCTGTTCCGAGGTTTGGAAAACACCAAGTCGTTTTACGATGACATCTATGTTTTCACAACGTCTCAGAACATTGACGACCACTTGAAGACGTTGCGCAAGACATTGGATATCCTGCGTGACAACAATATGTGCATCAAGCTTGCCAAGTGTGTCTTCTGCACCGACGAGATTCCGTGTCTCGGGGACTTCGTAGGTCGCAACGGTGTACGGATGGATCCGGACAAGGTACAAACCATCAAGGACTGGCCAGTACCACAAACACAAGAGGAACTTCACAGCTTCATTGGGTTGACTGGTTACGTCCAGCGATTTTGTCCAGACTACGCAGCACTTACTGCAACAATGTTCACTGTCTTGAAGAAGAAGAACAAGAGGAACACGAAGATCCAATTCAATGGTGAGCAGTTGAAGAATTTCAAGGAGCTGAAGAGGCGACTGTGCAATCCTCTAGTGTTGCACCTCCCTAACTTC